GCCGGCCGGCCGACGCGGTCGTTAATCAGCCGGCCGCCCTGCCGGCTAAGCTGTGGTTCTTGGCCGGCCGGCCGGCCCGGCCGGACCGTGATTCTTGGCCAGCCGGCCGGCCGGTCGAGAAATAGCGGGCCGCGATAAGCTCGCAATGAAATATATATTGTATAAATATATATATATATACTTATTTATTTGAATAAAATATATTATTGTAATGTTTTTCATGATGTATATATATATATATTTTTGGTTTCAAATGTATTTTATTCAATAATATTCAACACCTGATATATATATATATATATCAAATATTAATCAATTTTCAAGAAAGGACATTTTATGAGAAATCTTTATATGTTTTCATGCAACAAGGTTTTTTACGCGTATATATCTACCTTTCTTTTAGAATATATATATATATGTTAAATGTTTCATGTGATTGGATGTGTATAGGAACAGAGATTCTGACACTAAACAAAACTATACACCATAAAAGTCATGCGAAATCCATGCAAATCCCACCAATTTAATCCGTGACATCGATGCTCGTGGTTCGAGTCGTAGGAATCAAATTCCCTTTCCGATCCCTGTTTGCGCAATTCCTGGCTTCTTGCTTTGCCTATGTTTGAGAGGCTCATTAATGCTGCGCCCCAGTGGCACTCAAGCAACGACAAAGTCCACGAGATTTGCAATATTTGAGCACCCAATCCTCCAGGCTCAAGGCCCAAAAACAATTCCAAACACTTCAACGTGGCCCACGGCCGCCCACGGCCCTTCGTGCGTTCCAAAGTGCGTTCCCGGAAAGTTGAAAAGCCCTTCGAGCCTAGGACGGTGTGTCGGAGCGAACCCAACATACAACATAACCAACCGTTTGCATGGTTAACCAACCGTTTGCATCAAGTTCTTTCTTCAAATCACCCTGCAAAATTATGCAAATACTTTGGTGGGAAGATGTTAGAAAGCACAATTAGAAGCAACAACAACACCAACAGCAAGAGCAAGAGCAAGAACAAAAGCAGGAGCAAGAACAAGAACAAGAGCAACAGCAACAGCACCACCACCACCTCCACAACCACCACCACCAACAACAGCAACAACAACAACAACAACAAGAACAAGAACAACGATAACAACAACAGAAGAACAAGAACAATAACAAGAACAAAACAACAACAAGAACAACACCAACACCAGCAGCAGCAGCAGCAGCGGCAGCGGCAGCGGCAGCGGCAACGGCAACGGCAACGGCAACGTCAACAGCAACAACAATTCTCAAACGCAACAGCTCCTTGAAATTTCCTTCAAAGGGAGCGCCGGTCAGGATTGCAGGGACCAAGCCATTGAGTGCAAATGTCTATGCTGGAATTGATTGCAATACAAAGGTACACTGTAACAACATGATCAAACAAAGAATCTGTTCAGTCAAACATGAGAACCCAGTTGCGATGACCCATGATGGCCTCCAACCTACTTGCGATGGCCTCCAAACCAAGAATCCATGGAGCCACACACGGCACGAATTCATCATTGCTTTTTTCACGAACTCAAAGCAGGTCATCATATCCTGAGCCTCCCTGCTCCTCAGGGCTTACCGGATGCAGCGTCACGCTCCTCGATGTGCAAACCTGAGCTTTGACCCTTTTTTATATCTTGACAGTTTTTTGAGGCGTGGGACACATGCATGACCAAACCGAAGCCATTCTCTGGCAGAAAAGAAAGGCAGTCGGACGTCCAACCACCCCCCTACCAGGTTCGCAGTGCCACTTTGACGTCCAAACAAGCTCCCGGGCTAAAGGGCCATGACGCAGGGTGCTGGGCCTGGATGCTGTGTGATTTGTGGTGCACAGGGTGCGCGGTGTACGGAAGACATGGAGAAGACTCTGGCGTACATCCCCTTGCTCCTAGGACATCGCTACTAGTAACAAGGGCATCGCTACTAGGAGGAAGTACATGGAACGTCCCCATGGGTCGGCGTAGCAACCTTTCCGTCAGGCTTGGAGGTACGGGACACCAAGCAATGACATGTTTGAATGCCCAGTGAAGAACGATCAGTACTCCTGTACTCATCTGATCTGATTATCAAATATAACTTTTTGCAGGTGTGATCCTTCAAACCAGGCGGCAAGGGTGATCGTTCCACAGCATAGGCGTGCATCCAGGAGCTGATGCCTGTCGACGGTTGCAAAAAATACATCGATGATCTGAAGTGGCAAGGACACCAAAGATCCTGAAATTGACAGGCTTGTAGTTGTAGTGATCCCAGGATGTGAATGTGTATTGAGAGATTGTTGCACTGAAGAAGAAGAAGGAAGAAAAGAAGAAGGAAGAAAAGAAGAAGGAAGAAGAAAAAGAATAAAGAAGAAGAAGAACAACAACAACAGGGCAAGGACCAGGTATGATGTTCCTGCACTCTCTCGCTCTCCATTCGGCTTTAAGGTCGTGTGATTAGGTTTGGAAGTGGTGGATTTGGGTACTCTGGGTAGACTGTGTTCAGACGAGCAAAGGCCACAAAGCCCAAAGACTCATTTAATTAGAGGTGACTCGACCCTGTTGCCACAAACTGAGCCACTACATGTTGGAACCCCAGCCTGTTGACATCCAGGCTTAAAGCCAATTACGTAGCACATCACAGTACCAAAGTTCCAGTGAATCAACATCCCTTGGCCCCACTCGTCAGCCGCTTCAACACCCAAGGGTCTCCCACCTGCGGACAAGACGGAGAGATCGCCAAAGACCTGCCGAATGGTGGGGCGTCCAAAGGATACGAAGCGACCACGTCTTCATCGTCCAAGAGGTTTTTCGATGTCATAAATCCTTCAGCTGAAGCCCTACGAGCTTGACTTCTCACATGCGCCATAGGAAGCATACGTTCTTTAATCAGCCTCCAAAGTGTGTGGCGTTGTAACAGAGCAGGATTGACCAAGAGGCTATTTCTGCCCAGTTTTCTCCTATCACCAGTAGCAGCCAGAACCATTCAAAAGTTTAACACAGCCTACAGCTCAAGCATAGCTCAGCATTTGCTCAAGGGAGGCTATTAGTTAGACTTGTCGGTTCGCCCTTCCGAGTGTCCAGCTCGAATGCCTAGTGGTATATAGATTCTATATAGTACGAGTATATAGTCGTTTATTATATATATACATGCAAATGACTATATAATGTGATTCCTATGTGATGCGGGGATTCTCTCGCTGCACCCGCATCATGCATGTCCATGGGGCCCTACACAGGCTGAGCTGCAACCAATGTCTCGACACATGACCTGGTGATACCCAGTCACTGCCAAGCGTGAGATCACCTCTGGTGCCTTGGTGAAGGGGCGCGAAAGGAGACGATGAACAGGCGACTTGTGATCTTTCAGGCTCTTACTTCTCTTTAAACTTGGATGCATCATGATCATGATGTTTAACTTCTCAATCTCATTTTTTTTTGGGGGGGGCATGTTCAACTTTGCTCCAGGAGTGTGTGTGTGTGTGTTTTGGGTTTCTTGGTGCAGCTACCTGCCATGACAGCCTTGAGCCTGGGATTCCCCTTCACACGATGGACGGAAGAAAACTGTTCAGGCTTTCTCCTCTCTGCTTTCAGGTCTGACTTGTTCCAACCTTTCCTCAAATGTATGTGTTGGATTTTGTTGGCATGTTTTGTGGGTGCTCGGGCTGAGATCAAGGTGAAGATGTCACGCGGCAATACGAAGAAGTGATCATCCAACCTGGCAGAACATGCGCAAATAACATCTTAAACGATGTCAATCACAAACCATCCAAAACTTGTTGGGTCGTGGGTGAGGGAGGCTGGAATATACAATATATCTGGGTGAATTAAACTAATTTCATTAATTTCGTTCACCTCGTACCTCGTCTTAATTCAATGTTTTGAAATTATTCACCTCGCCTCGTTTAATTTGAATAATTTCAGTCACCTCGTCTGCCTGCCTGCCTGCCTGCCTGCCTGGCTCCTGGCAGGCTGGCTGCTGTCTGTCTCTCTGTCTGTCTGTCTGTCTATCTGTCTTCTTGACCCCCAACCAGCACACGCACCCCTTGGGAGGGACGTGGCTGATCGGGGTTTGCTGATGCTTGGCTGGCACGAGTGAGCGGGTGGGTGGCTCCAAAGCCTTTGAAAAAAAAAGTGTTCTCTTGAGGGGGGGTGGTCTATGTTTAATTGAGCTGCAAGGCGCAGTTTCCTGACCTACTTGGGCTGGCTAGGGCCTGAGACAACATCAACAAGGCTGCAAACCAATCCACAGTCGTGAAACCCTATTTCGCAAAACTAGGGTTGTTTCATGGGGCTTGCCTGTTTGAGCTGTTCAGCACAGTTTCCATGCCTAGTGGGGCTGGCTAGGGCCCGAGACAA